TGACCAGAATTCTAGAACAGGATGATGCAAGCACAGAGAAAATTGTCAGAGCATTGTTGAAAGAAAACTTGCCTAACATCATGAAAGATGAGAAGATAAGCATACAAGCAGCAGAAGGAACCTAAACAGATCCCCAAAGAAGATCACCAAGACATAGCATATTCAAACTTTCCAAAATCAAGGAAAGAATACTAAGAGCAGTTCGGGCAAAACAAAAAGTTACATACAAAGGAGAAACCATGCAGGCTAGAAGGCAGTCAGGTGACATATACAAAACTCGGTGGGGGGTGGGGGTGGTGGGGGTGGTGGAAAGACTGCCAAGCAAGAATCATATATCCAGCAAATCTGTCCCTCAAATACAACAGCAAAATGAGGGCATTTCCTGATAAACGGAAATTAAAGGAATTTGTAATGGCCAGACTTAACTTTTCAAAAAATACTAAAGGGTGATCTTTGCACTGAGAACCAACAGCAGCAGACAACCACCTGAGATTACCATTCATGATAACACAACCCAGAACTCAATCAGGTATTTAAAATAAAACAAACCTACAAGAATGAAAATAGGGAACCAGAGATATCCATGTATAATGAAGTCAATTACAAAGCAAAAAGAGGGAATAGTGTAGATGTAGAACTTCCAAATGGTACGGAAGTCAAGTAGATTTCAAGATAAAACAGACTGTTTTAAGCAGGGCAAAAATTAATAAATTACAGGGTAATCTCAAAGAAACATAATGCAACTGCATATCAAAATAAGAAAAATCAGAAATACCTAAACATTAACACAACAGAAAAAAAAGAAAACCCATAAACAAAATGAACTCAGCACAAAAAATTTGGGGGAACAAAGAATCCAGTAGCACCGCAAGAAAACACACAGAAAAATGACAATTAATTCACACCTATGGTTAATTCTGGTAGCGTACTGGTTACGAATTGGGCTGCTAATCTCACAGTCAGAGGTTCGAAACAACCAGCTGTTCTGTGGGAGAAAGATAAGCCGTTCTGCTCCCATAAAGATTTACAGCCTCAGAAACCCTGTACAGGGTCGCTATGAGTTGGAACCGACTCCACGGCACATAATAACAACAACAATTTATAATTATACTGATATGTACCTGGATTAAATGTACCAGCCAAGAGACATAAAGAGCAGAATGGATAAGAAAATAGGATCCTTCAATATGTTAAGTGAAATTAGTCAATCACAAAAGGACAAATATTCTATGAGACCAAAGTTGCAAAAAGGTTTTCTTAATAAAAGAAACAATCTATGATGGTTACGGGGGTAATGTGGCAGTCGAAAGGGAAGGGAAAATTTTTCACAGGCTAGTGAGTCATTAACACATGTTAACATGGGTGACAGGGTAGGCAATATAGAACACAAAGGAGGTTAGCAGAGGAAAAATGAAGGTACTGGGAGACACAGGGAGGAAGGCAATAATTAAAGTGAATAGAAGTAAATACTGTTAACTGTTGGTAGATGGAGGGGATTGTAAACATTATAATGAAGCAAAATACGTGATTCCTTGGCTGTAGAGCTGATGATTTGCTCTGTAGACCTTTGCTGAATTCACACTAAAAAGTTTAAAGGAACAAAAATAAATAAGCCTTCAACCATGTTCCATAGCCTCCCGATGACCTGGAGATGAGAGAGAGAAGAGGAAGGGCTGGTTGGTCCAAAGTGTGGTGAGACCAGGAGTTAACCAATGGGAGAAGAACAACTCAGGAGGGTGAGAATGAAAAGAGTGCAATCAAAGTCACTGTAGAAACAGCTGAATTGTTTTACAATTCAGGTAAGTAAAAAAGCAAGCTGCAAAATCATGTTGTTATATGCTGTTGAGTCAGTTCTGAGCCATAGGGATCCTGTATAAGGTTTCTAAGGAGAGACTACTGGGTTTGAACTGCCGACATTGTGGTTAAACAATCCAGTGCTTATTCTACAGCCTGTCACACTAAGACTCCTACAAAACCATAGAATTCTTTACCAAACAAATAGCAAAATGTGGAGCTATTGTTTCTTAACATATCCTCCATCTAAGTCAATACACTTCTGAAGGCAGAGTTTCCTTCCCCAGCAGCTCCAAGGAAGAAAGAGGTGGCCTTTTGCAGCCTCAGACACCCTAGAAGTTACTATGAGTCAGAACCAAGACGATAGAACACATAACAACACTTCAAAGAATTCTACACTCTTCAATTTATATAATGTCAAAATGGCAGTTTGGGCAGCTTCAGGGGACTCAAATTGTGTTCCCTTTGAATGTTGACTTTGGGGAACAAAAAGAAGTGAGGGCTGTAGGCGAGATGAGGTAAGGTCTCTCAATGAAATTCTCATAGGACAGCCTTTGCTACACTCGAAGAATGAGCATGTACACTATTATGATGGAAGAGAATTCCTTGGTACAACTCTTCTAGCAAAACATTGTAAAACAGTTTACAATGTCTTCATAGTGACTGTGTCTTGTGTCCTTTGAGAAAGTCTATCAAGATGACCCCTTTGAGATCCCCCACAACAGTCATTGTAATCTTCTGAGTTGACCTCACTGTTTTGCACTTAACCAGCCCATCAGACCCTCTAGGAAGCCACTGTTTGATTGCACCTTTTTCTTTCCTTAAGTAACCTAACAAGACTAAGACAAATGTATTACTGAGAGAACTTGTCTGCAACCACACACTGATCACAGAGACATGTTAAACGTGTTTTGTTTAGAACAAACCCATGTATATATGAACCGGAATCCTCGTAGCAACACTTTTTGACTTATCCTCATATGTTATGCTTTCTATATGCTCAACAACAAAATAATTAAAGTCACAGTGATCAAAATGTTCTTTCAAATAAATACTTGCTCAAAGAAATGAACTTCAACCAACATAAGCCTGTGTTCTTTGTATGCTTTAATTTTTTAAAGAAATGCTAGTGAATAAACAAGGGGCTTCAAAAAGTTTGTGGAAAATTCCATTTTTCCATGAACTTTCTGAACCCCCCACAAACTCTTATCATGCATGTTCTCAGTTTTCCTATCACTATAACCACCTCAAGGAGCTCTGGTAGCGTAGTGGTTACGAATCGGGCTGCGAACCGCAAGGTCAGCAGTTCGAAACTACTAGCTGTTCTGTGGGAGAAAGATGAGGCTTTCTGCTTCCGTAAAGATTTACAGCCTCGGAAACCCTGTACAGGGTCGCTATGGGTCGGAACCGACTCCATAGCACACAACAACATAACCACCTTTGTTACTGCTTAATGCTATTAAGTATACTGCTTAATAGTATCTGGTACATAAAAAAAACTAGTGACTGCTACTATTATTATACTGTACTTGGGAAAAAAATTTTTTTTTTTTTCCATCTTCCCCACCTCATCTGATTTCCACTAGTTGAAATTCTACCTATTGTTAAAGGTCTGTGTCATCTACTACACTCTTTACAAAGCCTCGCCTGAGGCCTTCAATGGGACTGGCCTCTAGGTGGTGCTGGAGTGCCACAATCCACCCACCCCGACCAACTTCCAAGGGGCAAGGAGTACAGTCTAAGACCTATTAGATCTCAGTATCAGAGAGGTCTCTCTGATGTACTCTTTTTTTCATTTTTATTTTTTCCCTCTAGAGTACTTTTTCTCAGTTTTCCTATCGCTGCCTTTATGTGGATGGAATCAGCCTCAAGTAAAAACCGTGTGTGAAACAAAAAAGCCTTGGCAGAGTTTAGTCTTCTTGTTCTAGGCAGAGGAAAGGCCTGTTCTCTTCTTCCTCCCCAGCAAAGCAGTAGCATCAAAAAGGCAACAAGGGAAGTCGCTCTGGCAAATGTTAAGAGATGGGATGGGAGCCTCTTAACATTTGTAAATAATTGTAAATAACTTGTAAATAACCTAGGCAAAAGGAATTGCTCTGGGGCTAGCCTCTTGTGCCATTGAGCTGATTTTGACTCACAGCAACCCTATATAGTGTTTCCAAGAAGCACCTTGTGGCTCACAGTCCAGTGCCGATCTTACAGCGCCATACCAGGAGTCCCCTACAAAACTATATGGAGTCCTGGCATAGCACTGTAGGATCAGCACTGGACGGTTAACCATGAGGTTAGTGGTTCAAATGACTTGATAGTATATAACAACAGCATTATATACAGCAAGAGTGATTTGGCCTGAAGGATTCCTTCTGAATACTATCTTCTGGAACTGACGTAAACAGCGAGAAGCAGTTTCAAGATATGGGATTCAAAATTTAGGACCCCCAAGTCCCAGCTGAGTATCTTGACTCTCTGATGATACTAAGATCCCTGCTTCTTCTGTACTGTCAGAACAGGCAGAAAATTGACCTAAAGTTTTCTCCTAAGATAGTTTTTCTAACTTAGCTTTATCAACACTTTTTTTGTAGAGAGAAACATCCCTTACTAAACCTGAAATTGCTGAGAGGCAGGAGCAATACCTTCCTTACCTTTTATATCCCTTTACCACAAATCCTTACTCTTAATGTTGTTGTTTAGTGCCATCAAGTTGGTTCTAACTCATAGCAACCCTAAATAGGGTTTCCAAGGCTGTCCATCTTTGCCTGCAGTTGCAGAAAGTCTCACCTTGCATTCACAGAGTGGCTGGTGGGCTCAAACCACTGACCTTGTGCTTCTAGTCCAGTGCCTATGATCCACAGCTCACTGTGCTCCATTATTCTTAAAAGGTGCCCAATAATGCTTTGAGTAGAATTAAAAGCTAGCTTGAAAAAAGAGTAGCAATGGAAGGCTCAGTCTGAATATTTGTTCAAGAACCAAGGAACAAAGCATGTGCCTCAAAGTTTGATGGGGGGTAAAAAAGAGCTTCATCAAGCTGCATGCTGTCCCTGCAAGGTCTTAAAACATACTTGAGACCTAAGAAGCTAAATCATTGTAAGCAATCTGTCTACATTAAAACACTAAAAGTTGTTCTAGATTTTGTTCTAAGTGAATGGAAACATGAAACATACTAGAATTAGAATAAGGTTTTTTGTTTTGTTTTTCTTTTTCTTTAATACCTTTAATAAATAAAGAGAACTCTGGTCCTGGGGAGATTTGAAAACGTTTCTGGCATCTTCCGAACTTTTGCATAATTGATGAATCCTCTGAGAAACAGGAGAAAGCCTAATTTGAAGAAATAAATAGAAAAGTCAAGAATAAATTTAGAATTTCCATCTAAAGTCCTCTCCCAAGAAATATCCCTCTGGATCGCAATACTTAAAAGCTATCAATTCTGTTAAAAGCTATCAAAATATAAACAATTGTTCCAATTGTCAAAGGATTGTCCATTAAAAATTTCCCCTTTCCTCAATGAGAAAACATACTCATAAAAGTCAAGTAAGAGTCTCTTTTGCACATTCAGAATCTAATGGGTGTAAATGGAAATAAAAAGCAACATGAGGGACAAACATTCACATTTGGACAGCACATTAAGAAACCTATCAAAATTTACCATGTGACTTCTAGCAAACAGTATACCAAGAAAATTAACTGATAAAGCAGAGAGTGATAGCTCTTTTTCTCAAGTGGAAATTTTGTTTACCCTTTCTTAGAGGATTCTTCCTTACACCTTCCTTTATTATTATTATTGCTAAATGCCTGCAGTTCAGAATATGGTCCACTAGATGTCAGGATTCCTTTAACTATTGTAGTAATTTTCATTCACGAATTGGCTTTCTTTATGTTACTTTGTCATTTATTTCTTAATTACCTGATAGTGAAGTAATAAGAATGACTATACCAGAATCAAAGAGCTCTGATGGCAAAATGGTTAAGCACTCGGCTGCTAACAGAAAGTTGGAGGTTCAAATTCACCTAGCAGTCCCAGAAAAAAAAAAAAACCTGGTTGTTAACTCCTGTAAAGATTATTGTTAGCAGTGGAGTTGGTTCTGAGTTACGGCGACCCTGTATAGGGTGGTTTCTGAAGAGTGGCTGGTGAGGTTGAATTACCGACCTTGCAGTGCAGTGCATTAACCTGCAGGGTCATACCAGGACTCCCCTGTAAAAATTTCAGCTTAGAAAAATATTATGGAGCAGTTCTACGCTGTCATAGGGTCGCTATGTGTCAGAACCAACTCATATACATACACTGGTGTATTTTCAAAATGTACAAATTTATGTACTGGAATATCCACTACCCTTTGCCTTGGTTATGTTGTGCTGACCAACCCCATATTGTATACTGTCTTTCCCTTAACCAAAGTTAGCACATGTCTACTATCTAGTTAGTGACTTTCCCTCCCTGGTAACCATCCAAGAATGTTTCTTTCTGTGTGTAAACCTTTCTTGACTTTTACAATAGTGGTCTCATACAATATTTGTCTTTTGTGACTGACTTATGTACTCAGGACAGTGTCTTACAAGTTCATCCATGTTGTGAGATGCTTCACAGATTTACTGTAATTTTTTAATGGTGGGCAGTATTTCATTGTGTGTATGTTTGTTTATCTACTCGTCCACTGATGAGCATTTAAGTTGTTTCTACCTTTTTACTGTTTTAAATAATGCTGCAATGAATGGTTGTGCATATGTCTATTCCTGTCATGGCTCTTATTTCTCTAGGATATATACCTGTTGCTTTTAGGTGCCATCAAGTTGGTTCTGACAATAGCAACCCTATATACAACACAGTCAAACAATGCCCAAACCCGTGTCCTCCTCAAATCGTTCCTATATTTGATCCCATTATAGAAGCCATCTTGTGAGGGTCTTCCTCATTTTTGTTAACCCTCTACTTTACTAAGCACAATGAACTCCTCCAGCGACTGATCCCTCCTGATAACATGGCAAGTATGTGAGATGAAGCCTTGCCATCCTCACTTCTTTGTAACATTTAGATTGTACTACTTCCAAGACAGATTTGTTGTTTTGGCAGTCCATGGTATATTCTTCACCAACACCAAAGGCATTAATTCTTCTTTGGTCTTCCTTTTTCATTGCCCAGCTTTCAACTGAAAATATCATGGTTTGGGCCAGGTAGAAACTATTAATAAGTCTTCCTCCAATTCTGATGCCATGTTCTTCCTCATATAATCCAGCTTCTCAGATTATATGCTCAACATACAGAATGATTATCTCCCAGTGGGATTGCTGGCTGATCATATGGTATTTCTATTTCTACCCTTTTGAAGAAATGCTATATTGTTTCCCATAGTGATGGAAACATAAAAAGGAAATCCATTCTTTTTTTTTTAAAACTTCCCTAAGATGTCAACAGAGGCCTGGTGTGACACTGTGGGTTAATGAGTCAGACTGCAAAGTCATTTGAACTGCAAACTCACCAGCTGCTCCTTGGAAACTCTGTACAGGGTTGCTGTGGGTCAGAATTGACTTGATGGCACTTAACAACAATAAAGATGTCAACAATCAACCTAAAAATATGCTTGAAAGCTCCTTCTTTGGTTCATTTCAGGATAGGACTTTGACTTTAGGTTTGCAGGAAGGGTAGTGACCAGCATTTCTCTTAAAGGCACAGTTGAGAGAAAAAACAAGCAAAGGAACTTTTCCTAAATAATCCTATAGATTATTTTAGACACACTGGTGGCACAGGGGTTAAGTGCTTGGCTGCTAAAAAGTCAGTGGTTCAAACCCACTCCACAGTTTGCTTTTGTAAAGATTCTAATCTTCGGACGCCTATGAGACAGTTCTACTATGTCTATGGGGTTGCTGCTGCTGCTGATGGTGTGCTGTGGAGTCGGTTCCAACTCATAGCAACCCTATATAGGTTTCCCGAGGCTGTAAGTCTTTATCGGTACAGAAAGCCTCATCGTTTTCCCATGGAACAGCTGGTAGTTTTGAAGTGCTGACCTTGAGGTTAGCAGCCTGACTCGTAACCATGCTACCAGAGCTCTTTACAGAGTTGCTATAGGGTCATTGGAGTCCTGGTGTGCTGTGCGTTAATGCACTGGACTGCAAGGTCAGTTTGAACTTAAAGGTAGGCAGTTCAAGCTCACCAGCCGCTCCTTGGAAACCCTATACATGGCCGCTATGGGTCGAAACCAACTAAATGGTACTTACAACAACATAGGGTCAAAAGGTAGGCAGTTCAAGCTCACCAGCCACTCCTTGGAAACCCTATACATGGCCGCTATGGGTCGAAACCAACTAAATGGTACTTACAACAACATAGGGTCATTATGAGTCAAAACTAATAATGATAACACGTTTCATTTTGTGTTTTTTTAGTGAGGAGAATGTTTGGTCATTTCATTATTAAGCTTCTCAGTTATCAAAAGAGTGGAGGAAAATCATTATTTCTCATCACTTGAAATGCCAATAGTATAGTAGAGTAGGATGGGCAGAAGCAGAACAAATACTTTTTTCTAAGTAAAATTTGAAGTCAGTATTACATGGTTTGGTCAGCCTAGGTAAACAAGGCCCTAACCTATTAAATAATTAGGCATGGGTGCTGGACTGTGCCAGCCAGACTCATTAGTAGCCTTGCCATCAAGAATCATTGTTGTTGTTAAGTGCCTCAAGTTGGTTCTGACTTATAGCGACCATGTATAGTGTTTCCAAGGAGCAGCTGGTGAGTCTGAATTACCAACCTTGTGGGTCGCTGTTCAGTGCTTATCCTACAGCGCACAGGAGATAGAAGAAAGTAATTTCACAAAGACAGAGCAAGGCAATCACGGTATCTCAAATACTACAAGATGGCCCTAGTATTGTTTTGTAGAAAGGACAGCAATGGCGGTCTCTACTATTCTATTTTATACATCTTCTAAAAGAATAAAGAAGCCAACATTAAAAGAACTCACTTATAGAGTTCATTACTTTGCCTTAATGTCTCAGAAGAAAAGTGTTGAAAATAATTAACTTAGGGTTAAGTCTGAGCATACTTCAATGCAGTAACTCACAGTAATGGACTATAGTCATTTTATCACCATGCCCCACTGGTTACATGGGGGCGCAGCGACCTGACGTGTACATATGAATGGGTTAAGGAATATATGTCCCAATTAATGTATACGTTACTCTGGTGAGTAATGTACAACAACCTCATTTTTAAGATCTTGTTAAAGTATTCAAAGAGAGAAAGATTTTAAAAACTGTATTATTGCTACATTAATTTATTAACGTATAACAAACAAGATGAGAGATTACTAAAAGTAGTTTCACTTCTAAAATTTAATGTAATGTTTTCTAAATTAAAAACACTTACTTACCTAGCACCAAAAACACCCACCAGAGCCAGTACTGACCATCAAAATATCCAGGGAAATAGGTGGAAAACTGAAAAATAAAGTAAAACATTTTACAGTATCTTAAGAAACACATTTTAACTGAAGAGCCTGCAAAGTACAAGCCAATGTAACAATAACAGAAAGAAGTACTGCATATATTACATGAATTGATTTGAGTTCATTATATGGCACATGATGCTATTCTTGCCAACAGGAATTGATGAGGGCTTCTGAGGTGGTTCCTGGCTCCTCAACAGAAAAGGAAGAGAATAAACGACTCCCTTTTTTTGTTAAGCACTGTTGTGTCTCGATGTGACTGACACTTGAGATAGCTTTTGACCATGAAGGATACCAACATGTTCAGCGCAGGAAAAATAGAAATGTTAGGTGCTACTGATGGCATTACCAAATCACTGACTTAGCAGGCTCACCTTAAAATTTGTTATGGGAAATAACCAATTCTCCTCATTGTTTCCTAAGTCTTTCTGAGATTGGTTTTCTGTTTACTTACAACCAAAAGTATCCTGATAGATACAAGCTAATTTCAGTTCATACAAGTTAATTTCAGTTTAAAAAAAAAACAAAAAAAAACTATTTCAACAAAAGAATCTTTCTTTTGGAAGAAAAAAATTAGTAAATGTAGTTAAAACTTCTGTTTAAAAAACACACACACAAAGGCTAGTAACTAATTTTATCTCTGCTTTCCATTAGATGCTTTGGTATCTAACAGTTTCACAATTTGATAATTAAAATACAGTGTGCTGGCAAACAACCTGTAGGATACATACTCAAGGACAATCAATATTCACCAGATTTGTGTGCATAAATCAAACAATCCAATTGCAACTGATTTCAGTTTAAGTTCATCATGAAACCAGCAGAAACAAACTAATAATCATATTTTAAATGTTGAGATAACAACAACAAAAACTCCCCACACAAATGAAAACCCACATATTCAAAATCAATCTAAGTATCATCCTTCTGCAGACTCCATCTATTCAGTTGTACAACTTACCCTGACAATCAGGATCCACTTAATTAGAGAGAGACCAAATCCTGAGATGGCCCCATACCTTCCTGCAGCTGAAGTGGTCAGGCAAAAAGACAGGAAAAACCCAATCCAGTTAAAGAGGAATGCCACTGTCAAAACATAGAGGAAAAGGATATCAGACATGCCCTGTACCAAAGGAGTAAAAAAGCCCCTTCTACTGCTTTTGTTGAAATGGTTTTCCTATGATAAAAGACTCCGTCTTCCTCCAAAGCAAACAAGAAACATCCTCTCTGAGTAGCAGGTTTTACACTATTAAGTCTACTTCTAGGGATTCCTTCAAATATCCCTTAACATTCACAAACTGTATACTCATTCACCTTTACTGTGTTTACACTCCAATAAATAGATGCCTTGAGCATTAAGTCAGTGCCACAAGTAATCTGCTGATTCAGGTCATTCACCCTTCTGCTTCTATGAATTTTGACAGCTTCAAAACTACACCCCTAAAAGCAATGCATGTTCTTGGAAGAAACCATTTTATTGTTTTAACACAGTAAATAAAAGAAATGGTTGCTCATTTCTGAGTTAGTCACATGGAAAGATAAATACAAAATAATGTCAAGGAGAAAACTAGACCAACTTTGGTTATGTTAGAAAATAGATATTTGCAAAATAAAACTAACCAAAAGCATATAATTCTGCTTCCATGGGTCAGGTATGAGTAGGAGCAATACAGATCTGCAAGAAAAGGCTTAACTTTCCTTATAATTGCTTTCATTATACCTACCATAGATATTCCCAGAAATATAACGGAGCTTCAAAAAGTTTGTGGAAGAATGGAATTTTTCTATAAACTTTTTGAAGTTTCTTTGTAGAAGATGAAGAGAGAAGGTAGATAAGTAAGATAAAAAAATGTAGTCAGTTCTAAACATCCCAGAAAAAGACACCAAATGAAAATAATGTATTAACTTATTAGTTCTGGTATGATGGTGTAGGATAAGCACTGCACTGCTAACCACAAGGTTAGTAGTTCAAAGCCACGGGCCATTACTCAGAAACCATATACAGGTTCGCTATGAGTTGGAACTGACTCACCCGCACTTAACAACAACTACATACTAGCGCAACTAGTTATTTTAATTTTGTCAGATTCATCCAAAATTGAAAGCACTCTAGTCTATGGTAGATGGTTCTACTATGTGTATGTACTTACTGAAAAACGTTAGCATGAAAATCCCATCATTGCCTATCCTCAGCTGGTCAGCATCATCAAAATCATCCCGGCCCACAAAATCCTCATCCTAAACAAAAAGTAAAAAGAATAAGGAAAATTCATAACTCATTATTTCTAAGCAAAGTAAAGACATTAAGAAAAACAAAGAAATGGGAAGGAGGGATGGAGTCCCAGTGAGGAAATTTATTGCCTTGGCTAAATTCAAAACTATGAGCATTTATGGCTCAGTGTGCGCTCAACATTTCCTTTTACCTCATAAGTAGAAGATACAATGACAGATATATCTTTCTTCTATCCCCATAGTTTTCTAGATGAAAGGGATATTTCCTCTTAAAACCCCAAATTCTTTACAAAAGACTTTAAAAATGAAAGAATTCACAAAAGAACTATTCATTTTTTTTTCCTTTTTATATATACCTATACACACATGGATCAAAAGACAAGAAAAAAGAGAAAACTCACTTACACATTTGACTTAAATTCTAGAATACTAGTAATCCAAGGCCTATATTAAGAAGATAAAATTAACTAGCTCAAGTGCATTATGAGACTGACCTGGGGAAAGGACAGCATGAGCATACATGCAGAGTCTAGAGGGCTGCCCATGGCACAACTCCAGAAGCGTCCTATTGGCAGATGGGCCTCCAAGCTTACTGGCAGGTAGGATCTTTTCCATTCTCCCATCCTACGCTGATAACATAAATTCCAAGTCTAGGAAGAATACAATCCTGACTAACACTTGACATATGTATAGTCTACCTTTTTAAACTGTTGTAGATATGTACTGAGGCATTAACAAAATATACTGAATATGTACTAAGACACTGACAACACTTAGAAATACACATGAGACTGGCACAGAGCCCAATAAGTGTTCCTCAAATACATTTTATATATTTAAGTACCTTTTTTAAGGGACAATCAAAACTTGCCCTACACAGAAATAAAGACTGGGAAAAGCCATACCAAACTGTTAACAGTGGTTCCCCGGGGAGACGGAAGTAGGAAAACGGGAAGTGCCAGTTGCAGCTTTCAATCTTTAACATAACACACTTCCCTACATTGTTTGAAATGTTTATAAGGATTTTTTTTGTAGTTAATTAAACAAATTAAATACCTAATACTCTAACCTCATATAAGCAGAATAAATGAAACTTTGTCAAACCAAAACCAAATTCTGTTTCTTGCATAATTACTCAGAGATTTGCTCCCAAGACACTGAAGTAACTTCTTAATAATACTGCAAGTGTCTTCTGTTCTCCTTGCCCTCAGGATCTCTACCATATTAATTTCTCCTGAAACATGCTATCAGGTTAATGTTTCTCAAATACCACCTACTCTTAACAAAACTCATAAAAATTTTGAAGAACTGTTCTCATTTACGTTCTAAGTTCAAATACCTCAGCCTAGCATTCTAAAGCTTCTACAACCTAACGTTTTGGTCACATCTTCCTCTGTTTCTCTTCACACATCCTTTGCTGAAGCCAAACCAATGACCACATTCACAGAACTTGCTCTGCAGCTGACTGAATTCACTTCCCTTTTCTGGGTTTTTCCATGAAAACTTTCCTTTTCCATAATACCTTTATCCATTAAAACTACATCTGCCCCCAATCACCTACTAACAAAGTAACAAAGTCACAGTTCTTGAGGTTCACTTTTTTTTTTTAAAAAAAGAAGTGCAGTACTCCTGGGTGATATTCTTTTAATTTGTAAGTCAATATGTCATTTAGCTAAGAAGAGATCTCAAGGGATGATTTTGGTTCAATATTTAATGAGTATTTTCTCAGCATAACAGTCTCCATGAGTGTGTCAGTCTCAACTGGTCCAGTAATTCTGGGTTTTTTGTTTGTTTGTTTTACAGAATTTGAGGTTCGGCTCCACACTTTTCTCCCATTCTATCAGAATTCATCTATTGTGGCCCTGATCAGAATGGTCAGTGGTGGTCATAGGCACCATCTAGGTCTCTTGGTTTCATGGTAGATGAGGCTGTGTTTTGTGTATACTATTAATCCTACAGAATAGATTCTTCTTAACAGTCTCTGGTTTCCTTCTTTCTCTTTTCTTCCAGATTGAGTTGAAAACCAATAGTTGTATAGTAGCAACACTGCTTTATAAAGTTTTTTTTTTTTTTACCTACCCATTGAAAATACAGAGCACCTTGTATAAAAAGGTTCTAATTGGGCTGCAAACCGCAAGGTTAGCTGTTTGAAACTACCAGCTGCTCCGCAGGAGAAAGATGAGGCTTTCTACTCCCATAAAGATTTATAGCCTCGGAAACCCTGTACAGGGTAGCTATGAGTCGGAACCGACTCCACGGCACATAACAACAACAACAACAACAGCCACAAATAGCTAAAGCAGTGTTGAAAGACAAAAACAAAGTGGGAACACAATTTCTGATTTTAAAACATGCTATTCAGTCTGGTACTGGTATAACAAAAACCAATGAGAATTTAGAGTACAGAAATAAACGAAGTTATCTAAGGGTCAACTGATTTTTCACAAGGAACCTAAGTACACTCAATGGAGAAAGAAGAGCCTCTCTGGTGCAGGGAAAATGTAATTTCCACAGGCAGAAAAATGAAACCATATCCATGCTTCAGAGTATACACAAAACAAATTCAGGACCTAAATGTGCAAGCTGTTGTTGCTAAGTGCCGCTGAGTCAGTCCCAACTCATAGTGACCCTGCATAGGGTTTCTGAGGAGCAGCTGGTTTATCTGAACTGTCAACTTTATGATTCACAGTCCAGTGCCGATCCTATAGCGCCACACCAGGAGTCCAAAATGTGCAAACTAAAACCATAAAATTCTTAGAAGAAAAAGCAGGCCTAGATTTAACAATAGATTATCGAATATAGTAACAAAAGTACAAACAACAGGCAAAGGGGGGTGGAAGAACAAGGAAGATAGGAAAACCCTGAGGCAGCTTGCATGGATTAAATGGGACAAAGGTAAATAGTGATGTATGCTCAACTATGGGACAATATGGCTCTGTGATACAGGGATCAAGAAGAAGGGAAATAATTTTATGATGCTTGACTGACTTATGAATATTGGTTTCCCTTGCCTACTACTGTAAAACAGACACTTGAATAGGATAGAAAGGAATGTCGGAAAACATGCTTACAGAGAGCTTGTCTGCCCGTCTTCAGCTTATAACTGATTGGGATACCTAAAAGGGGTTCTAGAACTTGCCCAGTGAAATCGGCTTCTTGCAGAGCCTTTGCAGTTTATAGGACCTTCAGTGGAATTCTGAGCCCCACTCAGAACTTTCTGAGGGGGGACATTCTCACTAGAAAGGACAAGCAAACCAGCCTGAAACAGCTAGAGCAATAATAAAATACATCTTCAAAGAACGATCAACAGGAAAAATCCAAAATAAAAATGGTAGTATGACTGGCTACTACAAGAACAAGCAAGTTGTTCACCAGGGAGCCATCAAGGCAAGCAATCAAGTCCCTTCAAGACAAAACTCAAAACCCGCCCCCAAGATTGAAACTCAAATGGAACAAAAAGCAGGCATGTAAGCTTGCTGGCAACCATGTTGGTCTATTGGTGAGTGGAAGAGAGGGAAAGGCAGCAATGAAGAAGTGGGCTGAGTTCAACCACGCTCCATAGATTCCCGTTGACCTGAAGATGAGAAAAACAGGATGGGTCGGTTGGTCTGAAGTGTGGTGAGACCTGGGGATTCCTGAGCCCATGGACAAGGACATAACCACGGAGGGCTAGAGCTGAGAGTGAAGCATCCAGCTGATAATAAAGTGAGGGGGAGATGCACAAGAATACCCTAACTTGCAGATGGTACCCATTTGACGGAGTTTCGATGGCTTGATAATTAGAACTCAACTAGAGGAAGATAAAACAAATTTTTGACAAAGGACACAAGCGTAAATTGCCATCATTTGATGAACTTGACCTATACTTATGGATGTAGTAACTTAAAATATCAACTGAGAGGGAAGGAGTCTCCACATCAAGTATCAATGCTATCCCCTCTGTATACAGGATAGATAGGGACGGGCAACTTAGGTATCGGCTACAAAATGAGGGGGCGATAAAGGCACGAAGTGACTAGCTTACAAGTTATCAGGAGGGAGTTTAAGAGTGTACAGGGGAGGGTAGAGTCCCAACTGAAAAGTTTTCATCTTGTCTAGATGGGTCTAGTGAAAAGAGATGGGGATAAGATTCTTTGATTCAATAGTGAGTAATTGTTATCATGACTAATTGTGACTGTCACAACTGTAAAGGTAGAAGTTTTGTAACAAAAATAGGGAGTAGTTATCAGAAACAGAGGACCTTAGGACTATCAAGAAAGTGCACAAGCAGAGTGCGGGACCATATCCACAGAAGCAGTGACACTAGAGATAGAGACAGAGATGAGGACATGGAGAGAGGGAGCTGCTAAGGACTCTGGACTCATGGAAAGAGAGGGACTGGGTGCTGGC